GTGCTGAAACAAATAATTCCAAACTCTTAGCAGAATAACACCACAAAAGTCTGATTCTCCTTCACGCCTCCATCTAGTGTGGGTTGGCTGAGAAAGGAGGGACTGCCCCCCACGCCCCTGACAATTTCGAGGCCTTGTTTCCTTTGGTCTTGTGGGTCCCCCTCCTCTGGGTTCCCAGAGTTCTCTCTGTCTGCCAGAACATGGGGAAAGAGAGAAAGGATTGCTTATGAAAAGGTTTATGGACCTGGAAGACATGCCCACCACTTCCTGTCTCATTCTATTGGCCAGGAATGAAATCAGAATATTGCTTCATTTAACCACAAAGGAGGCTGGAAAATTTGATATTTGTGATCATTAACATTCTTTGTCCCATTCCCTTACAATTGACACTGGAGCAGCCCCAGACTCCTTCCATTTATCTGCCACACCATTCAGGTCACCATCTCCGTGCTTTGGACCCCTGCTGGTCTCTCTGTCAACAACGCTTTAGGTGAACTTCCTTTTCTCCTTCAGTTCTTGTCCAAGCATTACCTCCTCTTCAAGTCTTCCCTTATTGGACCCCTTTTCTGATCCAGAGATAGAGCTCATTGCTCATTTTTCCTTAGTACATCTAGACTTTGCCCACACTGTCACTCTGCCCTGGTGGTTTGTTCACATGCTCGCCTCCCCTCTAGAATTCCTGCTCCTTCTGAGCAGAGTCCTGCTCAGGCACCTCATCGATAAAGCCAGAAGAACATTAGCTCTCCACATCACCTAGCTGTGAAGAATTCATAAATTAATGGATATAAAGTTCTCAGTATGTTGCCTGTGACACACAAGGCACACCCAGTAAAATAGAGTGCTACTATCATGTCATGTTGCCTGTGACACACAAGGCACACCCAGTAAAATAGAGTGCTACTATCATGTCCTTCTGATTTGTTCTGTGGATGGGGACAGAAATGCTCTCCCTCCTTGAACAGCCTTGAATTAGGGCAGAGAAGCTTGCGCTGTGGACACGTGGCCTCCAGGGAGTGGCTCTGGCAGGCAGAGGCTTTGGTGAGCTCCCCTGGCCCTGGAAGGGTTCCTTGAGTGAGGTCTGGCAGGGGCAAAGAGAAGCTGACAAGTTAAATGATTTAGTCTGCTCAGCAAAGTAAATGTGGCTCCAGGAAGTTAGAAGTCACTCAGAATGGAAGCTCCAACTGCCACTGGGTGGAGGAACTTTTTTTTTTTTCCAAACTCAATTTGTTTTCACTTGAGCTGCTTCATTTCATCAACACAGCTCCTTGGAACACTGGCTAAATTCCCTGAAAAAAAGACTCTTTATTTAAGTGTTTTCTTTTTCTCCCCCTCCCTTCTCCGTAGTTCCTCAAATGCAATAAAAATTAAACACTTGAAGAACTAGAGAAAGTCCCCCAAAACACTCGGTGTACACCAGGTATATGATTGCCGGGCTGGCGAGGGTAAGACTGCAGGTTTGGAGGTGGAGTTGCCCTCAGCAGCAGAGTGACTGTGGTTAAATCGTTAGCTAAAATGGCCATGTGACTGATAAATGGCCTCTTCACAAAGACCCTTTCATCCAGGTCATTCTTGTGTGAGGCTCTCAGTGCCTCTGCATTTCAGCCTCAAGAGGAAGGAAGGGGAAGGAAGCAGACCTTCATCTGAAGCAGCACAGAAGCTTCCTCAATCAAGAGTCTGGGTTGCAACCCACTCTCTGCTCATGCATCTGGGCAGTGAGCACTCACTCCATTGCTCCACCAGCATGACTGGCACAAGGGCCAAAGCCAGACCATGTTGGGGAGCTTCCGTCTTTATTACCTGGAATTTTTAAAAAGAGAATAAACCAAAGAGCGTCATTTGTACTGACCGGTGAAAGACTCTGAGATGGCCTAAGCCTTCCAGTTCGGGACCTGCTGATTCCAGACCAGCTCTGGTTCCTTCGGAGTATGAAGCATCCCAGTTTTCGTTCTCTCTGCTGGAGAGGAAATATAACACGTCAACAGCAAAAAACTACATAAAGAATAGTTTTCTTTTTCTTTATTTTTCCTCTCTGCTGCCTCTTCACTCTTTTTTTTTTTTCTGGCCTTTATAAGAACTTGGCAGAGCTGATCAATTAGGCAGATTTTTCCACACAAAGAATATAAAGATTCACTGTAAACTGTAATGGAGGCATTAACATGACTATGGTGGTCTAGTTTAGGAAGATAATTTTACTTAATTTTTCTCCCTAACCTATTAGACATTTAATTCCTACAGATGTGAAAAATTATTTCCAAGGAATAACCAAAAAAATGCTACTACTGTTTTATTGTATTTACAAAGAAACCAGCACTCTGCTGTAATCCACCAAATCCTGTAAGATCTCTTTGTTTAGAGAAAATTGACAAAAAAATGTAAACCACAAAAACTAGAGCAAAAACTGTCAGGGTTTAAAAAATAGTAAGTTCTAAGAGGGCAGTTTTAGAGAGAGCCCCTGGGGTGAGCAACCATCAGGAGCACTGATCAGGCTCCGGGAAGTTATGTGCAGGGGTTAAACTGGGTCAGGGAGGGAGCGTGTTTTAAATCATATAATCTGTCTTCCATACCTGCAGGAAAAGTTCCATGGACGCGGCACAGGCTGCTTCCTTTGGGGGCCCTTGGGAGGAGATGGAGGTTGTAAAGAGACAGGAGAAAGCTCTCTGGTACATGAAGACTCAAGTTGCTGCAAAGGAAGGGCCCCTCAGCAGAGGAGTGAACTCAGGAAAGTTTCCACTCCACATGCCCTTCGTTTCCCACTTGGAAACCACGGTAGTGTGTCTGCGGGGACGGCGGTGTCTGTTACGAGAGTACAGCTCTCTCATCAGAAGTCAGCAGCCTGTGGAACCAGGGCTGGGGCGGCTTCACAAGTGCGGGGAGTTACAGTCCTCTCCCTCGGCTCCTCTTTCCAAACACTGCGCTCCTGTCAACAAAGGAAAAGTTCAATCATCCTGAACTTCCAGACCCATTATTAAAGAAGAGTAGGAAAATCATGCTGATGGTTAGGTTCTCTGACATTTGACATCGTTTAAAGATCTGTCTTGAGTAAAAAGGTCTCATTCACTGAACGTTTTCATCTTTTCCATTTGGCAAACTCTGGTCCCCTCACCTTTCCTTCCACCCAGACTAACTGTGAAAGGTTATCTCATTAAGGACAATACGTACTTTCTTCTGGGACTCCAGCCTCACATATACCCAGAATTATAACGACGGTAGCAATGCACTTTGTCAGAAACTTACTATATGATTACAGCATGCTGTTTGGCAAGCATAACCTTATAGAAGTTCGAAGGCAACTCTGAAGTAAGCAGTCCTGTTCGCAACCAACAGCTGAAGAAACTGAGGTGCTCAGAAGTTCCCATGAGCAGTGAATGACAGGAATTGGTCCCAACCGAGATCCGGCTGATTCCAGAGCCTTAATTACTTCACTAAGTGCCCCAACTGAGACACAGCCACCAACATGGGTGGAGAATGCAGCCGAGTTCTCCCTGCCTCCACCACGGACTGTCTGCTCACGCATCTGTCTGCAAGGGCTCTCATCACCAGAATGCCTCCATTTATTCTATTTACATCATGTTAAGCCCTGAAACTCTTCATGGACCTGACCCACGCCAGCTGCACAACACTCAGGTGGAGGTTATTCTTTTTGTGTGTGTGTGTGTGTGTTTGGATTTTTTTTAACATTTTTTATTGATTTATAATCATTTTACAGTGTTGTGTCAAATTCCAGTGTTCAGCACAATTTTTCAGTCATTCATGGACATATACACACTCATTGTCACATTTTTTTCTCTGTGATTTATAGGTGGAGGTTATTCTTGAATGACCTCCACTTGCACTTGGGTTGCTGGGTAATTTGGGGGAAAAATCTTTCAGAATTGGTAAGAGTCTTATTTCATGGTCTCCAACCTTCACTGAGTCTTCAGAGATGCCTAGGAGTCCCATTGTGCTCCTATGGGCAGTGCTTCCCCCTTCTCTGAGGCAGCTGTTTCAAACTGTCTCCTCTTCTCTAAAACACATGACCTCAGTTTCCATGTGACTTTGCCTCCCACAGAAAAACAGAGGACATCAGTCAAAATTCCTTCCACTTCCTGCCATAAAATTTACATAGTTGCATCTTCACTCACCCCTTTCTCAACCTTTCTTGGTGGCCTGGAAGAAGCATCCTTTATCTTACTGAAAACTGGACCCTGTTGATTCCTGCCTTCTCAGGGATGTTACTCCATCCATCTCTCCCTCTCTACTGGCCGCATCCCGTGAGCGTGTGGACAACACACTGCCTCCAGTCCCCAGGTCCTCCTCCAGACTCCACATACTCTCTCTTCTCTGTCACTGGAGAAATTTCTCTAAAGTGCATCAAATATTTCCATTTCATCACCTCCCACTCGCTCCTCAGACCTCTGTGTCTGGCATCCTCACCTTCACAACACTGAAGCTACACTTGAAAAATCAACTTCTTCCAGATTCATGTGCAATTTTCACCTTCCATCTCACTTGACTTTTCTGTAATTTAATAGCATTGATCACTCAAAGCATTCTCTTTCCTTGACTTCTGGCACAAGGGATTCTAATTAATCCTCCAGCCGTCTGTCTGTTCCTTCCTGTCCCTGTCTTGGCCCAGCTTGTTTCCTGTTTCCATCCCCCGTGTTTGGTCTCATCCTCTCTAGTGACATGTTCGTACCCCTTAAACCTGCATTTCTATTTCTGGTCACTTTTCTGGGCTCCAGCTTTTCTGTTCAATGACCTTCCACAGATTGCACCGGGATGTCTCGCAGGCACTTTGTATTCAACACTCGTAAAACACATCCGCTGCACTAAACCCGTTCCTTCTGTTCCTGCATTTCACTTTCAGTGAGTAGTGCCATCTATTTGCCCAGTTTCTCAAGCTAGAAAGGGTGACAACACCCTTGTCCTCTTGTTTTGCCTCAGCTCCCACACATAGGAATGATTAAATTCTACGAATTCTCTTTCTCAGCTATATCTTGAATATACCTGCTTACCTCTAGTTTCCGTTTCACTCACAGGTCACCACCTGCTCTTACTCCGAGTCTCAGCTGCATGTTACCCTCCCTTTGGGTCATTGCCCACATGCCCCCATTTGCTTAACTTAACATTCTTCCATCATAATTTGCACTCTGATATTCTCTTTAATAGGAAGTCTTTTGTACCCCCAGGGCTGGCTTGGGTCCCCCTCCTCTGTGTACCTGCAGCATCCTGTGATTCTCTCCTTCGTGTCAGTTACACTCTAGTTTTAATATTCTGTTTACGAACCTGTCTTATCACCCACTGTCTAGTTTATAATTTTGTCTTGAACACGTAGCCCAGCCTTTGGCATCTAATAACTGTTCAATGAATGATGTATTTTTAAACTATGACTTTGTTTTCTGCTAGTTGTGCAGTGACATACACACATGTATTACTCAACGAGAGTATGGCTTTTTTTAACATTTTTTATTGATTTATAATCATTTTACAATGTTGTGTCAAATTTC